ACTAGCAGAGCTCATGGTCACAGCTTATATTAAGGCTTCATTTATAAATAGTGTTTAAAGGATTAATAAACGACTGTGTTGTAAAGTTCAGTCCTCTCTGGTCTGGCACCATCCGTGGTCTGGAATAGTTTTAGTTAGCTTGATATCCCCTTACCATAAGGGTGACCAAGTTTCCCACTGTCCCATAAAGTTTGTTTATAGCCACCAGTCCTAGCTTTTAGTGTTCTGTGCTGTTATTTAGCTTTAATTTACCACTAAAAGTCTTCTAACAGCCCAGTAAGCAATGGAAGTGTTGGTGATGCTGCCAGACAATATTGACCATCTGTGGTTCAGCAACTTCTCTGGTTTGGCACCGGTCAAGTCCCGAGGGTGCCAGACTAGAGAGGTTCAACCTGTAGTACAATCTAATAAATTATAAATGGTGCCAAAAGAAAAGGGTTTGTTTTTTGGGGTGGGGATGGTTTGTTTTATTTTTATTTTTGATTTTGGGGTTTTTTTTGTTTTTTTTACTTTTTTGCAGATGGTCTGAAAAATGAATCTCTGTCACAATTGTCCTTTAGATGTAGGCTTAAGAACTTTCCTGCTTTCAAAGGTGCATTTCCTGTTTTCATACCAGCCCAGTCCTGTCTCCGAGAAGCACCATCTGTCCTGCACGTGGAATACAGTCTTTTCCATGCTAAAAAACATCCCAACTGCTTCGGTTTATTTGTTTTTCCACCAGATTCCACTTCGGTTGGCGTGTTTAATAGAGACAGTTAAGTGAGTACATTGGAGCCTCTAAGAAACAGCTTCTGATCGAAATCCAAACAAGAGTTATTGCGCAAAACAACCAAAACCAAACCATCCACTGGCAGCTTTGCTAGCTTGAGGGCTGCATTCTGATCTCAGTTACACCAGTGTAAAACCCTGCCAGCCACCTGAATTGAGCCCGTGTGGCTGCTTGCTGTTCTAGCTTGGGGTCAGGAATGGATGGGAGTGGTCCAAAGGCAACAGGCCTCATCAAAGAAGGAGCGTCAGCATAATCAAGAGCCCAGGAAGGGAATCTTGCCCAGGTCTCCTTACTCATGATTACAGCATGCATGATGTGGATGTCTCAAGGGTTAGAGAGAAGTAACGGAAAAGATCCTCAGAATGCAGACAAGGCTGCAGATGCTCCTTCCAGGAGAAAATGTTGTTTCTGAGAAGCTCCCAAGGCTGTTAAGAAGTGGTAACTGATGCACAAATGGCTCAGGAGATTTCTTCTGTTCTCCACCCACAGCTCACAAGCCCACGATGTCCTGGGTGGCACCTGCAGCCCGTAGTTGACATTAAAAGCGAGATCAGTTCTTTTCTCTCCTTCATTTACATGGGAGGGGGGACTGTCAGATTAGGCCTCCCCGTGCTGAAGCAAACCCAGCTCTAGTTCCCTTGGGCAGCCAGACTTCTTAGCATAACTCAGCATGGTCTTGTTAGTCTGGGGCAGCAGAATTCCAGGATTTGATTGGGCGATGGGTCATGTATAGGAACCGTAACATCCCCAGTTTACAGAGCAATATGCATTTAATGAATGGTTCTCATTATTATACTTCAGTTTCATTCCAGAGGTCCCATTGCTCTGGCGTCTGAACAAGCAGAGAAAAAGAGACAAGCCTCTCTTCCCGCCCCTCTAAGGCTCTGATCTTGCAATGTACGTGCACCCCGTCTCCAGCACGGACATCCATTTAACAACTGTCGGTATTAAATATGCCAATTGAAGTTGAATCTAGCGGGAAAAGGAATAGCGCATGCATGGAGGGATCTGCCTTCAGGAAGTTTGTTGCAGAATTGTGAATGCAGAAAGCCAGAACTGGGCTCCCTTTTCCAGATTCGGCCAAACTCAGCTCTCAGTTGACCCGAGTGACTGAAATCGGTAGCGTTATTCTGGATTGGCACCAGTGTCATGAGAGCAGAGTTTAGCCCAGCGGGTGGCCAGTTTGTTTTTCCTGAGTGTATGTGCTGAACTACATGAATTCCTTAGGAGTCCTATGCTGCGTCGTTCTTGAGTTTGTAGCCTTCTTTGCATTTGCAATTCTTAATTCTCTTACAAACTTGCCACTTTATAATCCAGCTGAGAGGATGTGAGTGCTGAAAGATGGCTGGTGATACACTGTGTACCATTATTTCCATTCTTGGCACTTGAGTAAATGACATTGTCACAGAAACGTCTCATTTGAATTGCTCAGTGGATTAAAGACAGTTTTACAAACCAGAAAGAAATCCAGCTGTTAAAACACAAGGCCCACATTGTTAGTGGTGTATGAACTTTTATCCTCGGAATTATTTTCTGCTCTGCAAATCATTTGCAGTAATGGACTAATGCTTTTGCTTTGCTCTGTATACATCTGTAGAGCCAGCTGAGTAATTAAGAACTGGAAATCAGCCCACTTAAGGAAGAACACTGCACTTAGAGCTCTCGTCTTGTACCCCAGTAACAAGTAGCATCATACTATTGGAAATATTCCGGCACAAAATGAAAATAAACATGCTCAGACCAACATTAGAAATATCCGCATTCAGAGTATCTTTTCAGGAAGCTTGTAGTGTGGAAAGTACCTGCTCCAAAAAAACTTAAATTGATCAAAATAATTTACCTTCTGGACGCCTGTTGGTTCTAACTCAACTTTGCTAATGATTTCTTTGCACAGAATGAGCAACATGATTTGCTACTGCAATGCCATTGATTTCAATGGAGGAATACATTTGGCCCAGTTCACTTTATAATGCTCTGGCGCTAACAGTGCACTGCTGGACTACGGCTTTAAAAGACTGCAGCATCTCTCCCGCAAAAATTCTCTACACCAACTTGCTTCTATGTGATAATATAAAATTATTTTAAATGAAACGCATTCCAGGAGGTGTGCCTAGGAAAGCGTAAGCAGTATTTGAGACAGTCTTAGATTATATAGGCATATCACGTTTTAACTGCATGGAGGAAATAAAATATTCAATAGCCTCAGGAGTAGTTCTCGGTCTCAAAGGGTTACATTTCATTAGCCTATGCTACCCACTCCCCAACGGCCAGCTGCTTTGCTTCTAGTTGGGAAGATATTAACCTTCCAGTGAAGGAAAAGACTCTTGCATGTTTCTTTCTGTCATTGCTATCCTAATGCAAACACCTGGCCTTCCATCCACGGGGGCCAGCTGAAGCAGAGAGTTTTGACACAACAGCTGAAGTCCAAAACTGTATTCTCTGATATGCCAAGTTGTTTCAGCTTTAGAGGGAAAAAAACAATTAAGGTTCCTAAAGGGACAAACAGTAATAGCAAGTGGTCCTGTGGCACCTTAGAGGCTAACAAAAATTTATATAGTATCATGAGCTTTTGTGGGTAAAACCTTCAGATGAAGTGGGGTTAATAGCTATTCCCTACATTGCAGGGGTGTTGTGAGGATAAATACCTTAACAACTGTGAGGTGCTTGCATAGGCTGGGTGAAGGGAGCCTTCATTAGATAAATGAAACAAAGAGCCTTTTTACTCAGCACTCACAAAGGTAAGGTTCCCGTGAATGACATAAACTGACCATGCTGATGTGTAGTATCAGAGGACCAGGCCTTTCGATTTCATCTTTGTCTCTTCTGTGCAGCCTAATAACAGTAGGGGCAAAAGAACATTTTTGTCCCAGGATTTTTTCCCCAGTAGTTGGGAAATCAAATGATGGGTAAGGATAAAAAAACCTTTCCCTGAGTTATTTGTGCAGGAATCACACAGGAGCCAATCAGAAGGAAGGCACACTCCCATGCTATTAACACACAAGACACTAAAGAAGAGACAAGTAAGAAAGTTTGGCTGGGAGTGGCAAGCTTGGTAATGTTCACAGTCTCATAGGGCATGTCTTCATTATGGGACAGTGATCAATCCAGCAGGGGTTGATTTACCACATCTAGGAAAGACATGATAAATTGATCAACTGTAGGGAATAATTCTGGACACTCTGGATGCAGGTGAAAACAAGCAGAGGATTTATTGCACACAGCTGGTGGAGTGTCCCTCAAGGGTCAACCTGGTGAACACTGGTTAATCAAAAGCGGCGAGGAGTCCTGTGGCACCTTACAGACTAACTGAAGTGTTGGAGCATAAGCTTTCGTGGGCAAAGACCCCGTTTGTCAGATGCATGGTTAATCAAAACATTACAATAGATTATACAGGCAGCAGATGGGCGGAGTAGAAACAATTTCATAGGTTTTAGGCAGCAAGACGAAATGAGCACATAAGCCAATAAACTACGAAAGTTACACGATGTCCCCACCTTAAGCCAATAAACTACGAAGGTTACACGATGTCCCCACCTATCGCCAATTAAACATCTTATCAATAATACAGGTAGTTATTACTAACAAGCTAAATAAGCCAACATAAACAAAACAGACATGTTAATGGCAGCTTTGTCTACTGAAATGATGATGCGTCTACTGCGGGGTGATACTGCCTCGCATTGGCGTGGTCGTTGGGTTCCAGGCTTATTATCTAGAATTAAAGGAGACAGTGAGAACAGCTTCCATGAAGTTTGTTTTGGTACCAGCCAGGGTCTTATCAGAGCGAGGCCCTCTTGGAATGTGGTTGCCAGGGTGACCAGGGTCATGTTAGCTGCTTGTTCTGTGTGTTCCCAGGCCTTCCCAGGATTTTAATAGGGGTTCTTAGGAGAATACCATGGACTGCCTCAGTTTACCTCTACATCACTGATTGCTTTCCTGTTGACTCTGGTAATCCACCAGAATGAGAAGCACAATGAGAGTCAATGGGCATCTTCTGTAAATCCACAATGAAGACACCATGTAAGCAGATCTAAGTAACTCAAATTCAGCTACTTTCTTCGCACAGCTGAAGTTGCATAACTTAGATCCATTTTCCCCACCTAGTGGAGATCTGCCCAGAGTATGTCACCCTTTGATTAGACCTCTTCTTCTGGAATGGGGAGTTTACTTCTGCAGAATAATTAGCAGTTCAAATGTCTCACATAGTTTTTATAACATTCCTTCTTTTCAGATCCAGTTAAACAGCAGAGGACTTATCTATTCTGTTGGCTTGCTGCTGGCATCTGTTTTTGTCACAGTACGTATATACTCTCTACTTCTTCATTTCCAGTTTTTATAAACATTGGCTTTTTCTCCATCCTCCTCCTTTCCTCTTAGAGCAGCAGCAGTTGCTATGCATCCCATTGAGAGGTATTCCTGATTCTTACTGTTAGATATCCAGGCGCCTAACCTGGGATTTTGCAAGCAATTATCTGACCTGACACAAGATGGTGTGTATTTTTTTTCTTGAGAGGAGCCCCTGGAAACTCACTAGTTATTGTTAGTCACTTTCAATGGTAAAAATGAAGCCGGACTTTGTCTTGTGCTGTTCTTCGTAGTGACAGGTGACAGAATGAGGAGCAATGGTCTCCAGTTGCAGTGGGGGAGGTCTAGGTTGGATATTAGGAAAAACGATTTCACTAGGAGGGTAGGGAAGCACTGGAGTGGGTTCCCTAAGGAAGTGGTGGACTCTCCCTCCCTAGAGGTTTTTAAGACCTAGCTTGACAAAGCCCTGGCTGGGATGATTGAGTTGGATTGGTCCTGCTTTGGGCAGGAGGTTGGACTCGATGACTCCTGAGGTCACTTTCCAGCTCTAGGATTCTATGGTTCTATGAAAACAGTCCTCTTTCAGGCTGGGCAGATATGAGTTTGCCATAAAGTACAGCGAACTGACACATTCATATTCAAGCATCCGACTGTTTAAAGCATATGGAGGTGTTTGCCTTTGCAAATTGCAGGCCCAGGTACACGCATGAGAGCCATTTTAGACACACAGAAGGGAGCTGGCCATTGAAAGATTTAAGAGATGCGTACCTCATAGAATGGAATTGTTCTTTCCAGAATGGATTTGGCGATTATAGTATTGGACCAGCTCATTAGCTGGTGTGAATCAGTGCAACTGAAGGAGCTACACCAATTTACTCCAACAGTATGTCTGGCCTGCTGTGTCGAAATATTCTAAAAGGCTAAGTTGCAATTCAGAACAGAATATTGCTCAAGCAAGTCAACAGTGCTCAGCAGTGGAAAAGTAAATTGCATGGTGACTCTGCTGAGAAAGGTGCTTGCCACTGATTCGCAATGCTCTTGATGTTGCTGCTTACTCTGAACAAATGGCTTTGTGTATTGCAGGTGTTTGGTGTCCACTTGAACAAATGGAAGCTGGATAGGAAGCTGGGATTTGTGTGCCTTTTCCTGTATGGCATCTTCTTGTGTTTCTCCATCATGACAGAATTCAACGTTTTCACGTTTGTGAACTTGCCGATGTGCAGAGATCACTGATCCAAGTGGCAGACTGTCGAGAGGTACTTCCTTCTTACCTGTGCAATACGAAACACGGCTGGCGTCTGCAGAACGCGATGCACCCAGCGGTCGTGAAGTATACCCTGCTCACTGTTCATAGGACTCTCCTCCCATCTTGGTTTACCCTCTGCCGACCCCAAAACCTGGAAAAATCTTGCATCGGCGTGAAGATATTTTTTTCAACATTAATGTGATTTCCAAGTTTAGGTTTGAACAGTGACTGGGATTTTAAATGAACTGGCTGCTATCTGGCGTTGAGCCAGGCAAAACTGATCTGCTACAATTCCTTCCTTTTTAAGTTATTTGGTGGAAGACTAATCTAATTTATAATTTAAGACTATTGCTAGAATGCAGAAGAAGAGGGTACATTGTTTATGGGGTGTTTTTCAAGCAGAACTGTGGGAATCTTTTATTTTTATTTTTTTCAGAGATCAACAGCCTCTCTTTGCAGCTTCTCCTTCTGAGCGCTGGATTTCGTGTAATGATCCAAAGGTCACAAGTGCAGTGTATTATGGGAACTCAGTTTGAGATACGCAACGTATGAGTGGACTGACTGTTTGTTAAAAGAAATGACTGGCAAGGCAGTGGCTAACAACATTTTACTATGATTAATGCAGCTCTTAAAGGTGTAAGGAATACAAGGTGAACATGGATTCAAAGGGTAAATACTGCTACCATATTCATTATCAGTATCAGAGTTGTATTGCCAGGTTATTTATATGACTTCCTAGCAGTGGTGTAGGACTGCCAGCCCTTGAGGGCTAACAAGGAGGGGCCCTGGTTTATAACGATCCGCACATTGAAAAGCAAGATCAGAAGTTTCCAAGGATCATCCAACTTCTTGTAGTTTTTTTATTTTTTGGGGGGGTGCATGTGTAGTTGTATGTCTTATTCATTGTGAGAGGAATGTAAGCGCCGTCACACATTCTCCAAGTGAGTTGTAGACACTGGTTTCTTTAAAAGGAAAGAGGCATATTTTGCACAGACATTGGTACCGAAATCATAATTTGCCACTCTGTAAAGAATACACTGGACCTGGCCAAAAATTTTTACAGCTGAACATACCCGGGGTCGGATTGTGGTGGATTTATTCCACCTCCTACTGGTGGAAGAAAGAGAGAAAGAAATGGCACTTTTAAAAGGCAGAATACCTTTCATGCAAACTCACTCACACATTTAAGTTATGATGAAAGTTCTGCCTCTCGCTGTTCTAACAGCCCTGCAAGATTTTGTATAATACTGTGTTAATATGCAGGCAGATTCCACCACACACATGAGGAACAACCATCACTGCCACACTCATGTGTATTGAAATTGTGGATTCTTGCCAGTGTTGGCTATTGTATTTACTTTAAGCACTGATCACTTCTGATTCATTTGGTGTGGGTTTTTTTCCCCTCTTCCTTGTAGATGTTCTTCGATGAAGTGTGATAAAATACTACCAACAAGGTGAATGTTTTTGTCTATGGTACAGACAGTGGCCAATAGTGGTAGACAGGGCACTACGAAAACAGGACCCTTAGAGAAAAAAAAAATCTGAATTAGCAGGAGAAAGACAGTTCAAGGTAAAGACCCTCTTTATCAACACTTTTGCACTTGATTTTTTAAGATTAATTCTCTTTGGACAAATAGTGTAATTTCCCCGGCAGCGCTCTCCATTTGACACAGCACATTACTTGCTCTCCTTTTCACATGGGACAAGTGAAAGTACAAGTTTGTCAGGCAAATTTCATGGAAAGTCAATACAGAGCCACCTCTGGTAAAAGCAGACAGGAAGGCAGGTATGAAGACAGAGCAGATGGAATAAAGGGGGAAGAAAAGAGGGGCTCCATTTTATAGAAGTGTTGCTATTTTTTCTTTGGGAACTTAAATGTAATCCCACTTGTTTAGTTAAGCAGCCTTCTAAGAACAGCATGCTAAGAATGATACCATATGGAAATCCCATTGCAATAGAAATCCCCATTGTACCTTCTGAGTGTGTTTTTAATTAATAGTAACCACTAAAATGTCTAAAAAGACTTGCTTAAATTAAAAAATAGTAGCATGATGTGATACATTTCAATAAATTCCACCCTTGAACACAGCTATAAGCTTATAACAAGGTACAGTAGCTCCTAAGCTAAATCTTTCCTTACTTGCAGGAGGGACAGTATTTGGGGGAGAAATTTCACATCAAGGCCTATTATTATTTCTATTTTGAATATTTATACTGCTGCTCCAATGGAGCCAGTTGGATCTATTTCTACGAAATAGCCATTATCTATCCCATGGCACAAAAACTGCATGACTTGGTTTTTTAGGAACTTTTCCTGTGGGCATACATCAAATACTGTAGTATCATAGCTTTGCATTGTATGTGTATCCTGAAATTCATTGTTCTGAACTTTGTGCATGTTGTGAGAATATTCTGAAAGTTGCTTATTCCAAGCATAAGCAGAGAGTTCTATTGAAACACTGAATTGCTCTTAATCTGTGCTGTATTCATATGAGATGTGATAGGACATTTTCTCTGATGACAGTTGCAGTTAGATGTGCTTGTGTTGTGATCTGAAACCAAATCAGATGGTACAAGATTGATTTGGAATAGAAGGTCCGTTAAGTGTGTGAATCCTGATTTGTTTTTGAAAACTTAAAAAACAACCAATAGTCTAGTAGCTCCTTAAAGACTAACAAAACATGTAGATGGTATCATGAGCTCTCGTGGGTACAATCTACTTCTTCAGATGAAGTCAGGTCATCTGAAGAAGTGGATTGTGCCCACAAAAGCTCACGATACCATCTACATGTTATGTTAGTCTTTAAGGTGCTACTAGACTATTGGTTGTTTTTTAAGTTTTTCCTGTTTCAAACTAACTTGGCTACCCCTCTGTTGTTTTTAAAACAGAGCATTTCAAACTGACAGCTTAATCAAAGCCCATGGAAAAATCTCTAAGACAAAAATGTAAGCATTTTTCTGTGCTACATTTATTCTGTGATCACTCTTCATGAATGGTCTTCCTAAGGCATACAATAATAAGATCACTACATACACTGACTGATACAATGAGTATTCACAGCTTTCACTTTAGTTTTCCTTCCAAGTAATCACAGAAAAATTATAATGAGCATTTCAAATAGAGCTCATTGCAATTCTCACTTTTGACCTGATTTCATACAGGCTGACTCCAAATATCTGATCCCATGTTAGTTTCAACTTGACATATGGTTAATTCTCCCTTGACAGTGTTTAAATGCCAAAATCTTGTGACGTGAGGTCATCTTAAGTGACACAGGAAAGATTGTTGTTGCCCTTATTAAAGTGGAATTCTTATACCTGTGTTTTTTGGGGTTTTTTTTAGAAATCGTGCTTGCTTTTTTTTTTTTTTTATTTGGTAGATACAAGAACCTACAACAGAAAATATCTTGCATGGACAGCATTTACAGAAGTATGGTTTGGGGTTTTTCTTTGTGTTTGACTTTATATCCTGAGCTGCGTCATTGAAGTTTGTGAATTTGCATGCTTTGTATTTATGGTTTTTGTGCCTGTGAAACAGATATTTGTGCTAATTTTAAGCATTCAAATGGCGCCTAACAAAAATGTCTTTAAAAGAAGAAAGTAGGGAAAAAAAATCAACAAGTGCTGAGGACACTCATTTAATGCTAGCGTAGTAACCTGAGGTTAGCATCTAACATGCAATGACAGCAGCACACATTTTCAATGCCTTCTCCTAGTAATCTGTAAAATAAAATGTCTGTTAGATACTTTTTTAAAAACGACAACTTTCTGACTACTGACAGATGTTTCTTTCACCAAATTTGTTCTGAAAACGGAATCCTTTCCAATTAAATATGGGGACTTGTCAGATCATGCTGTAATGTCAGGCCCTGTCTATATTTAGAGTAATGCCATTCATTTCATTCATTGAATCTTCTGCTCAAGGAGCGTAGGATCCATGCTTTGGTTCAGCCATTTCTAGAGAGCCCAGTCTCCTGCCAAGGTTGTGGCTTGCTCTGTATTAAGGCTGCAGCAGGCGAATTCGGAAGCCACACTGCCCCTACAACCTGCATGATGCCATCCACAAGGTCTTCTCCATCCAGTTTCCGTTGGATCACATGCATAAAGCTGATGGACTGGAATGGACTTCAGCATATAAAACAGATGTTCACTTGGGAAGACACTGGAAACTGCTTGCTTTGACACCAGAACACGATGAATCCACCATACACCTTCAATGTGATGTTACTGTTTCATGTCAAAAGTGTCCAGCTGGCACATTTGCGTCTCTGTAGTAGCCTAGGTTTCAAAGCCATTAAACAGTCGGGAAGCCACTGTTGCTTGATAGCTATGCATCGTAGAGTTGATATGTGGTGTGGATGCCAGAGAGGAGTACAAAAAGCATGCATATCACCTTTGGCCTTGCTGATTTGATTTTTTCATGTTGGCAAGGCAGTCTCCCTCCTTAGGGACAATGGAACCAAGATATCCAAATGTATGACAGATTCAGCCTCTTGTCCATTGATTATGATGGGTAAGGGTAGAGGCCACTTTCATCAGTTTGGTCTTCTTCCAATTGACTTGAAGACAAATCTTACTTGCTTCTTCCATAAATATATTCAGGGCCTTGATGAGATTACGACGTGAAGATGGGAATGTAGTTGTATCGTCCACATTTTCCAGGTCTGCTCTGCAGGAGCTATGCAGTAGCACCCCTGGTATGTGACTAGTGACAGCTTCCATAACAGTGTTGAGTAGATTGGGACAGCCATGCATCCCAGCTGTGTGTTGGCTTAAGCTAAATCACTATAAGGTCATTTTAAATCCAACTGAGAGCAGCCACAGAAGGGTTTGCACCAATTTAACTGAATCCGTTTCAGATTGTACATTTAGGTTCATGTCATGCAAGTCTGAATACAGAGAAGGCCTTGACAGTTTTTCATCAAACAAAAGGCATCATGCCTGGTATTGTTTGAATATGCTGTACAAATGCATTGGGTATGTTGTGAGGCACTAAGCTAAAAGACTATGAACAAATCATCGGCGCTGTTGAAATCAGTGACAAAAATCCCACTGCTGCTGTAGGGCCAAGATTTCTCCCTATATGTCTTTGCAACAGCCCATCATGTTGGTCTTAAAATAGTTCTTTAAAAATATGAATAAGTGAATCAGACATAGATTTTTTTTTTAAAGCCAAATCAATAAACTAGTTCTTAGCAATACAGCTTGGCACCAATAAGAAGATTACACATGAAAGAGTTATAAGGGTTAGGCACACCAGGAGTTTGGAACTTGGAGCATATTTCACTTGGAGCAAATTCATTTATTTCATCCCCAGCTGTGCTGACTCGTTGGCCAGACCATGAAAAGTTTTTAAATTTCCAGAACTGGAGTTGTGGCCAAATTCATGCCACATGGGAAAAGGCAAGGTATGCCCAAAGAGGCACGTCCAGAAGAAAAACACTTTTTAGTGTGTTTCTTTGATCACACATCAAGTGGTATAATTTGTAACATTTGGCTATGACTCTAACTCCCCTTCTAACAGCTCACTAACTATGCCAAGTCTTTGAAGCATGGATGGAGCCAGCTAATTTTATGAAAGCTTCTAGAAAAGCACAGTTCTTGTAAGGTTTCAAATATTTTAATGGTTTTAAATTTGTAATTTTCAAATTACCAGTAAAATAAATTTTAAAACCTCCACACTAAAACAAACAAACAAACCAACAAACCCCAAACCCCTGTTTATCTTGTTATTTTCAATCAAATAGTATTTGAATATGCTGAAATTAATCTGGCAGGTTTTAATAATAACCCTGACTTTCATAGCTATTTGTAGAAATAAGGTTCAGTTTTATGTACCTGAACTTTCATGGACAATCATTAGAGGCACAAAAGTTTGCTCAGATTTTTCCTGTTAGCGTTTGTGGTTTAAGATCAGCATCAGTGACAGGGAAAAGCAGGTAGTTTTCATCTGATATTTAGCAGGTCTCTGTTATTGGCTTCTGTAGAACTGCATGCAGTTTTCATAACATAATCAGCTATAAAGTTGTTAAAATCATATCTGCTTCTTTCTTATTTCCTCTTTCAAAGAAACAAAATCAAGCTGCGTAAATGGGTCTCACCAGCAATAAAACAGCTAATCTCAGTTGCTATCTTACTAGAAGTGGCCAAATAAAATTCTACATACAAATAGATTTAGATATGAACATAACTGCTACTGGATGGTTATGGTAAAATAATTTTTGGACAGATGACCTGTTTATACAAACCATCATATAGCATGTTGTCTCTACATACAATATGGCAAGAGTATAAGAATTCATGCCGAATTTTTGATCCATTACGCTAGCTAAGAGCCTTAGGATAGAATGCTCATTTACCAAAGTTCATGGGAGATTTTTAGTAAAATGGTGTAAATATGGCAATAAAAAAAATAACTGCCAATGACATCAAGTTAATAATATCAGGACTATTTTAAACAAAGTAACTGTTTTGAAGTTTACGCATTCCATAGTTGTAGATCTCACCCTTCACAATTATTGTACATTACCGGCATTTTGACGCCATCCTTCAGAATGAACCAAATATTTTGATTCCTATAAAGAGATGCAGTGATAACTCAGGTAGCTGCGATCCAGCAGAGTTTGATTTGGATGAAGGCCAGACTGCAATGACCGCTGTGCAGCAGCATATTAGAAGGGAGACAACCACTCTTCTCAGGATAGCGAAGATGGTTCCTTCCAGTTCGCCATGACACTGTGGAAAAGAAAATTGTGCGTCACGTTCCGTTGTTTGTTGGTGTCACACATGAGACGGACTTCCCCAGTAGTGGGGGAGAAGGGTTGTGAAGTGGACAGGATTTAACCCAGTGTCATGGTGGTACTTTTGGGCTTTACGCCACACGCAGAGCTTCTGAGGCAGGCCGTACTCAAAAGTTTGTCTGGGAACCTGCAAAGACACATGAAACTCGCATGGCATTGAACAGAGATGGGGCATGGCCAACAGAGCTAGGATTGTGTCTATTATGTGTCGCCCTATCCCTGCTCCCCTCCCCGCCCCCCGGCAACCTCTATCAGCAGCACTCCTCTGGAGGTCCAACCGTAATTTCAAGTTCTCTTTCCACCCAATACCCTGAGAAGAGGCAAGGGTGGTACCACATATGCACTTCACTGGGGGTAAATGTCTGTAAGGATATAGGGGGACAGGCTGACGTAACATGGTGTCATTTACACCTCTTTCTGGGCCTGATCTGACTCCCATGACAGTCGGTGGCAAGAGTCTCATGTACTATAATAGGAACTGGATCAGACCCTAAAGCCCCAAGTCAGCAGAGCGCTTAAGCACGTGCTTAAGCCTCAAGTCAATGGCAATTAAGCATGCACTTACATGCTTTGCTGAATCGGGTGCAGTGCATCTAATCCACTGACATCAATGGGTTTTCTTAAAATCGTTTCAGTGAATGCAGCATCCGCACCCGAGTCGTGTGGATTTTATAAACCACGGAAGCAGTACAACATGCCCAGTGCTGTAAAAATGTCTTTTGGTGATGAATGAGCAGAATACAAGACTCCTACCGAATGTGCCTTTGACTGAAAAGAGAGAAGTGACTTTGAAAGGCTTCCTCGGAGCTTTATAGATTTTAACTGAGAATGAACTACTGAGCCAGATTTTTACTCTTTTTAGTGTTCTTAAGGAAAGTA